GCGCGCCCTGTGGCGTGCCTTTGCTGAGGCCAACAGGCGCATCTGCCTAGCTGGCTCCGGCAGCTACTGCAACAAGGGTCCGCAGGCGCCTTGAGCTTTTTCCTGTCATGTCTGAGTCACTCCTGGAAGAGAAGCAGCTCTGAAATTTCACGGCGAGCAGAGTTTGCTCAAAAGCTTTTTTCCGACCCGGCCCTTTGAGCGCCATGCGGCCATGCGACGCCTTCCTGCCTTGCCAGCCCTACCTGCTCATGTCCCAGGTCCGGGGCTTGCAGAACAAGAGCTGCCTTTGTTGGAGCCAAAGATCACCAAAGTCCGCGGTGCTCACCGTGGCACTGGTGGCCAGCTTTCACAGCAAGGGCAGGCAATGCTTGCGAGACTAGCAGACACCTTTGAAGGGCACGTGCCAGAAGTGTGTCGCATATTGGGCTGGACAGTCAGACTTGGCATGAACGGGTTTCTGGCAAAGGCGACCGGTCTTTCCCGTGGCTGTGTGGAGAAGCGTCAGGCCGAGAGCCGTCGCCAGCAAGGTGTCCCGAAACCTTTTACAAACCGCGCAGGCCGGAAGAGGAAGTGGAAGGAGCCTGACAGCCCAATCGAGGCCACCTTGCCAGAAGAAGTGGACCCCTTGGCGCCAGATGCTGGCTCCGCTGACTCAACACCAATGGCTAGCACCAGCTTCAGTGGCATTTTGGATTCGAAGTCGCATGCCAATCAGCGATGCCCTTACAAGGGGCTCCATGTTGTGGGGCCAGACGACCAAGAGAGGCTTGTAGGCCTCAGGCTTACGAGCTTAGCCCTTTGCCTCAATTCCCAGGGCTCTGTGCACACATACACAGAAGTATTGAGCATGCTAGACGCATCTCTGCCTGGTGAGTTCGGCCAGATACAGCATTCTGAGAGATTCGCGAAAGGGATCGTGGCAGAAGCTGTCAAGGCTACTCGCATTTTTGTGGCGCACAATTTGAACCAGAACTTGAAGGCGCTGAGGCTGCCGTCAGACCTGGCCTTTACCGTTGATGGTGCAACATTGAAAAACGGCGAATCGCTGCAAATCCAGATGGTGTACGCGAATTGTGGCTCTCCAGTAGTGTCACTGCTTGATGCCACCCCGCTCCAAACGACCGAGCCGCCTCTGCCACCAAAGGACGTGGCCAGCAGAGATACACCAAAAGAGGATGCTCTCCTAGCCACCCTTCTGGAGCCAGACAAGAGGGCCAGACATCGCCCTACGGCCCCGCCGCTCTTGGACTTGCATTCGGGAGCCCGGCTTGTTGACAACTTACTGGCCACAACCGAGAAGTTTGGCATGACATTGCCAGAGCTGCAGCTGAGGTTTGCCGTTTTTGCCGGCGATGGCTTGCTGGAAGGGCCGTTCAACACCTGCCAACCTGGATGCGGAAATCTTCTGGCCAGAAGATTGTCTTTGGAGCAACGCAGCAGCTTGTGCGAGTGGGGCTCGCTGGACTGGTTTCACGCTTGCGAGAAAAGTGGCGCTCACAGTGACGCGCAAGAGAAATCGAAGAGCAAGGCGAGCCCTGGCTTTTTACGTCAGATGGAAGCTGTTGCCTTGAAGGCAAGGAGGCTGTTTCAACTCGGGCAGGGCAAGATTGTCATTCGAGTGGCTTGGCTGCAAAATCAACCCAGCGCATTTAGCTTTTGAGAATGGCCTTCAGCGTATCAAAGCAACCTCTAAAACCGACCCACTTGAATTTGCAATTTCCGAGCGATGTGTCTAATCCGTTCCCCCTAATAAAAAAAATACCCCCCCCTTATTATAAATAAACCCACCCAAACATGTATTTTTTTTTAATTTGGGTTTTTGGGGTTGGTTTTTTTGCTTTTCCAACAATGTGAGGGTTCACATAGGATTTGGAGGAAATGGATTGAATTGTAAGGTCCGCAAGTAAGCGGTTTAATAAGGAAATTTGATGTATCATTCTATTTGTTTACAGACCGCAGCCAGGTGACAAACGCAGCCAGCCAGGGAGTCAGGGACAGCCAGGGACAACAGAGTCAAGAACAACCTTTGGGGGAACCCACCAAAAGAACCCAACCTTTTGAGAAGCCAGCTTTTGGGGAAGCAACCTTTTGGGGAATTGAGGAACCCACCTTTTGAAAAGTGAGGCTGGAAGCTTGCTAAAAGTGCCCCCTAATAAGGATTCCCAGACTTTAGTATTGGTGTAGTATTGGCGCAATGGAAAATCAATTGTGTGGAGTGGAAATCTGGTCTCGGGCCCCGGATTTGCATTTATTATTAATGGGGGTCATTCATTAATAGGGGGAGGAGATTACTTTGAGCACTTTCGTGCGTCAGCCACAGAGCAGCCCGCACGCCCAGGCACTCTCAAAGAGGCTAGGCCTTCCCTTGGTGGGGTTGCTGGCTCCGGTCTCTGCATCAACCCGGATGGTTACCTACACGTCAGCCAGAGTGCCAAAGGACTGCTGGGGTGACAAATCGAGAAGCTGCGTGTTGTCCGCACGATGTTGAGGGCAGCTGCGTGTTTAACTCATCATTGGATCATGATTCTGTGACTCGCAAGGGCATAGCTTCATTCTCATTGTTGTGAGTGTAGACATGGAATGGCGCAAGCGCCACTGCCTGCCAGAACCTCTTCCAGAACTTGCCGGTTCTGCACAGCGGCGCGATTTTCTGCCAGACAGAGGCCATCGAAAACACCCGCCGGAAAGCCAAAAACCCTAGCAAGATTTGTGGCCTGAAGACTGCGGACGCCAAGGAGGCGCGCCAGTTCGGGCGTGACCTGCTAGACGCCCCAATGCTCATTTTCTGCTCTTTTCATTATGAGCACAGGCGTCAGAACTTGCTAGCTGTTGCTGCCCACGGTCAGAGCAGCGCCATGCCCAACAATGTGAAGTTTACTCTGGCAGTGGAGGCCCTCCTCGCCATGTCCGAAGACAGAGTTACTTTTGCAGCTTTACAGAACGCAGTGGTGGTTTTGGAGCCGGCTGGAGTCTTTCCTGATTGCAGACAACACGGACAGGTGGGCCGCGCGTTACTTCCAGCAGTGCATCACGCAGTTCAGTGGCTGGATGGTTGTCAGACTGGCGTGGAGACGATACCCGCGGTCAGTCAGACTTCTGACTGAGCTCATGTTTTACCGGACTGTTCAAGGAGTCTCCTTGGGTATTCGCCCACATGAACGTTGGCCGCTGTCGGAGCCCGGAGCACCGCCCAAGCACAAGACGAAGGCGCCGGGGCCGATCTGTAGGGCCAGACCGAATTGCCCCAACCCAACCCATGGACTTTGACACACACACACAGGGTCACAAGTTGCCCCCCCCCAGGCCCTATTGTTTTTTGTTTTTTTGCTGAAGCTTGGGAAAGGCTGAGACGCACACATTTTAGGTTTACTGTGCGGTCAGGGAGGATTGCTGGAAGGAGCTTTACACCCCTCATCTTTCGCAAGATCACCCTCACAGCCTTTTCTCGCCCCCAATTGCTTGTCGCGGGCCCCCTCCAAATGTGCCAGCGCTACGCTTGATGCAGAGCCTGTTGCTTTGACACACGCGCATCTTGTGTACCCCCTGTCAGGCAGAAACACGCACCTACATTTGCAAGACAGCCGTTGCCGCGCTGGAAAGAGTGAAGCAGTGGGCCAAGCAAGAGGCGCATTTCTTTCGATGTCGCTGCTTGTGGCCAGACGCCAATATGCCAAAATGGTTCTTGACACATAAAGGCATGCACAGACAAAAGGATCCTGAGAGTGATGCCGGCCCGGAGTTGGACTGCCCGGGGTCAGACTCCTCTGAGACTGAAGACAGCAGCTCCTCCGACTCCGACAACTCCTCATCAAGCGAATCAGGCACGGAGGAGGCGAAGGGAGCAAGCTCTTCTGGCGAGGTGAAAAAGCTGCAAGAGCTGGAGCTGAAAGTTGATAAGTGGGCGCAAGACCCTGGCGTGCAGCAGCTTGCTGCAGGGTCTTCGCGCGCGCTCTTCGCTTTTCCATCCATGCCAGAGGTGTCAGACGGGCCTGCTAGGAGAGGCGAAGCCAATTCTCTAAGGCGAGTTGGGCAAAAGGTTGTCATTGCCAGCAGCCAGGCCTCGGACCGCCGTCTATGGCAAAACATGATTGCCGGCAACACCTGCTATGTCGCGAAAGGTCAGTCTTTGAAGCCAGGTCAGAGGAGCCAGCTCTCCAGTTGCGCTGCGTACTTGTTCCTGGCCAGACAACTTCTGCATGGTCTGCAGACACACGACGAGCTGTGGAAGACTGCCCTGCGCGAACTTGCCAGAGCCTTCGGACCATACCTTTGGGGTCTTCAGCCAGGCGCTGTGCGACATTTGGTGAATCCGCCAGAGGAGATGTTTGCACAGCCATCTGAGCCAGAGCTGCAGGAGCAGTTCCTTGTGTTTCGCAATGTGGCCGTCCGGATTTCGAGCGCCGCCTGTGCGGCGGAGAAGTTCCAGAAGTCAGAGGTTCTCAAATGGGATGAGCATCTGCATAGTCTGATCGTGCAGCAGAGTTACACGCAAGCCAGACATTACTGGCATGTGCTGAGGCTTTTTCACAGATTGCACGTGTGGGGCTTTGCGTCAGAAGCAATCTGCGAATCAGCGGTTTCCATCATGCGCTACCTGGAGAAGAAGCACTCTGTCGGACGACCTCTGCGGACCGCTCCCTTGGTGGAGGCAGCGCTGCTTCGCTTCTACGGGGTGGACGGTCGGCCTGAGTCGTGGCCTTTCTTGCTGAAGGTCCTGTCAGAATACTTCCGGAAGCGAGGCAAAGGGCAGCTGCGCTTCTTTGTCTCCCGCCGGACAACGGCGGCGCGCTCTGGTCTCGGGCCGAGCGCAGTGCTGCACAGGCACCGTCAGAAGGCGGAGTCCATGACCAAGTCATGGATGATGTCTCCAGTTGCAGTCAGGCCTTCCAAGCTGCTGTCCAAGGACGCTCTGAAAGCTTTGCGCCAGACTGATGCCAGAGAGCCTGATGACTTCTACGCTGCATTGTGGGATTGTGTTTTGCCGGCGTTGGCCAGCGCAG